TGGAGGCAAATATTGGGCCATTATACTGGGCTCCTGGGGCCCTCTTAGGGGGTCTTGGCGAAGTTCGGCCTGGGGGCAGAGCTCCCCTCAAGCCTCTCGGACCCCGCCATACTCCCACGTCCAGCCCCTTGGCGGGAAAGGGCTCAAAAGGAAACAACTTCCATTCGATTCGATTTGACTGCGATATGGCTCGGTTTTCTTTACATTCACACACCTGATGGGGGGGCCTGAGGTTGCCACACAGGGAAGCGAAATACTAGACTCTCAAGGCGAAACTCCAAGCAGGTCAGCGCATTTTGTCTGCCGCGGCTGGGAAAATGGTTGAAACGATCCACTAGTCACTAGAACGTTGGTGCAACATACCACTATCAACTGTGCAAATCAAAACTATCAGACCTATCCCCATCCCCAACAGGCCAAGGCTCCCTAACGCCACCAACCTACCCCTTCGAAGCGGGGATGAATGCCGCGCAACCCGACGGATACGGCACCTATCCCCACTCAGCGGGGTAGGTCGGATAGCCGGGTCAGGGCTTTCACGGTGGGCATGGGGACAAGTCCAACGATGCTGAGCCAAGGGACCTTGTAGAAAGCGGTGAAACAGAAGGTGAAGCAAGGTCCGAAGGGAGCAGGCCTGTCGCCGCCCTAGACTAGAAGAAGAGAAATCGGCATGATCACAGACTCTCGGAGGTCCGCATGGATCTTTGGGATCGGCGCTGCCCCCCTTGCCCCTTGCGCGCCTCTGGCGCCGGGGGCGGCGCCGGAGGCGCCGGTAGAGGGGGCTCAGCGCAGAGACAAGGATGTGGCAAGCGCGAGAGTAAGCCAATATAGTGTTGTGTGTCTGAAAGTGAACCAACGAATCTGCGAAACTGTTAGCCAGCGTGGACCCCACAGTGTGTGTCAAGCACTCTGTGTGCTGCAATCGGCGCAACCTACGTGGTGCAATCCAGGTGGTGTACTCGATGTGGTGCTGCTATCTGCGTGGTGCAGTCTATGTGGTGCAATCTCCGTGGTGCACTCTACGACGGGCGGCGACGGGGCGGCGACGGTGGCGACATGGCGGCAAGAGCGCGGCACAGGCGACAAGCGGCGGCGAGGCGGCGACGGGGCGGCGACGACGACCAGAGCGCCACGCAGGCCCAGTTCCCTCAGACCAGCTTAGCTCCAGGAGGTGGGCAGAACGCGCTACGTCCAGAGCGTGCCCTATGCAGAACGCACAGCAAACCATAGCAAGACAAAGCAATGCAAGCAACCTAGTGCAATGCCATGCCATGCAAAGCAACGCAAAACAATGCAACGCAAAGAACGTAAACGCAAAGCAAGTCAATGCAAAGTAAGACAAAAAGACGACATGCAAAATCATGCAAATCATTGCCAGACGAAACAAAACACTGCGCAACAATGCCAAACAATGCAAAACAACGGAAGACAATGCAAATGTGCGGAAGGCAGCGCAAAGCAATGCCATGCAAAGCAACGCAAAACAACACAAAGCACGGCAAAGCATCACAATGCAAAGCAATGTAAAGCGAGGCAAAACAGTACAGTCCATGCGGTGCAATCTAACGGCGGCGACGAGGCGGCGACGGGGCGACGACGGCGGCTACATGCCCGCCAGACCGGCACGCAGGCCCAGACAGCGGGCGGCGACGTGGCGGCGACGGCGGCTACATAGTCGCCAGATCGGCACGCGGGCCCACTTCCTTCGAAGACGAATAAGATACCCTAAGTTCAAACACTGATTGGGGAGCATACGGCCGTGGCTCTGCAACTGCAGGGTGATCCTGTCACGGAACGCCCCTGTGTGGACTGCGCGCGGACCTCAGAAGTTACGCTCATGCTAAGGAGCTCACGAAGGACGTACGCGCCCACCCACGTACATGAACACCGTCCCCCAATCCGCGAGACCGGCCACGTAATACGAACGTTCGCAATGCGCACTCTCGAAAACAACGCGAATTCACGTACGTGTAAGTCAGGTCCGTGTCGTGCCGACTTCGGCGTTGGCTTCTGACACCGCGGGGATCGCTCAACCTTGAACGATCGGCCGTTTCCGAAACGTCCAGATCGTTCCACACCGAACGACTCTGGGTCGCCCGCGGCCCCACGTGGAACGCCGCTGGCGGGGTCGCCGCTGGCCGACACGACACGAACCTACCGTACATGACTACCTACCAGACCACCCCAACCCAACCCGAAGACCCAAATTTCGGGTTGGGGGGGTATGGGTTCCATACGTGTTTTTCGATGTTCCCCGACCCCCCCCCACTGGAAATGGAGGGCAAATGGAGGCATTCGGGTTGGGTTGGGGTGGTTCGGTAGGTGGTGAGTACGTCCATCTGTCGCTCCTGACCTGCCGCCTTCCCTTCCTCGTCTCGCGGCAGGGGGGCTCGCGAAAAAGTTTCCCCGGCCCAGCGCCCCTCCGCCCAAGACGCGCCCCGCCCCTCGGCGGCGCGGCCCTCGGCAGAGCCGGCGGCGAGGTGCGAGGAGTGCGCCGTGCACGCCGCGCCACCGCCCCGGCGGCAGAACTGCCGAGAGAGAAAAAAAAAGAGGGAGGGCCCCTTCCGAGCGTAGCCCTGCAGGGCCAGCTAATTAAATTGACTTAGTAAAGTTCCTCCCGCTTCCCTGAGAGCGCCCGAGGCGCTCCCGACAGGAGGAGGAGGAGGAGGAGGAGGAGGAGGAGGAGGGGGAGTAGGGGCAGGAGGAGGAGAGGAGGAGGAGGAGGAGGAGGAGGAGTGGAGGAGGGGAGGGACAAGGAGGAGGACTCCTGGAGTCCTGGAGGACGAGGTGGAGGAGGGGAGGGGGGTGGAGGTGGAGGAGGAAGAGGTGAAGGAGGAGGAGGAGGAGGAGGAGGAGGAGGGGGGGTTGGTGGAGGACGAGGAGGTGGAGGTGGACGTGCAGGTGAAGGAGGCGGCTGAGGAGGAGAAGGAGAAGGAGGAGGAGGAGGAGGAGGAGGAAAAGGAGGAGGAGGAGGAGGAGGAGGAGGAGGGGGAGGAGGAGGAGGAGGAGGAGGGAGGAGGGAGGAGGAGGAGGAGGAGGAGGAGGAGGAGGAGGAGGAGGGGGGTTGGTGGAGGACGAGGAGGTGGAGGTGGACGTGCAGGTGGAGGAGGCGGCTGAGGAGGAGGAGGAGGAGGAGGAGGAGGAGGAGGAGGAGAAAAAGGAGGAGGAGGAGGAGGAGGAGGGGGAGAACGAATGAGGAGGAGGAGGGGAGGGGGAGGCGGAGGGGGAGGACAAGGAGGAACAGGAGGAGGAGGAGAAGGAGGAGGGGAAGGCGGAGAAGGAGGAGGAGGAGGCGGAGGCGGAGGAGGAAGAGATGGAGGATCATGATGAGGAGGAGGATAACCAGGAGGAGGAGAAGCAGGAGGAAGAGGAGGAAGATGAGGAGGAGAAGGAGAAGGAGGAGGGAGAGGAGGAAGAGGATGAGGATGAGGATGCGGATGAGGATGAGGATAATAATGAGGAGGAGGAGGAGGAGGAGGAGGAGGAGGAGGAGGAGGGGTAGGGGGAGGGGAAAGGGGGAGGGGGGAGGGGCAGGATAGGTGCGCTCGCGTCATATCTGACATCCTACCCCTCCCTCCCATCCCTTACCATGGCGTAGATCCCCTTTCTACTCGCACAGTCGAATGTCGAGCAGGGCAATGATCCCGATGCGATGCATTGTAGAGCACGTCGTGGCATGGCGTAGAAGAGCACCGCAAAGCGCAGTATGTCACAGCATGGCGTGGCGTGGCGTAGTGAAGAATTGCACCACAAAGCTTTGCAACGCAAAGCATGGCATCGCACAGCGGCCCCGAACATAACATTGCATAGCATGGCGTTGAAGATCAAAGCGTAGCATGGCATAGCACGAAATGGCACTTAGGCACTGCATATCACAGCTTCAGCTGAAGGCATGGCATCGCGCAACGGAACGCAACCTAGCATTGCATTGCATGCCGTGGCATGGCACGGAAAATGACGCCAGCGCTGCAGCGGGAGCACGATTCGGAACGAGCGGAAGCACGGACATGAGGCCAGCGCTGCAGCGGGAGCACGATTCGGAACGAGCGGGGCCCGAAAATGAGGCCGGCGCCTCAGCGAGAGCAGCATTTTGAAAACGAATGCAGGCGAGAACCCAACTCCGGGGAATCCTGTGTAAACAAACAGTACGCGTGGGGGGGCGAACACTCCCAACATCAGGGGAAGGAGGAGAGTAGTATTCAAATTGAGTAATTGTGGAGAGAGGAGGAGGAGGAGGAGGAGGAGGAGGA